CGGGGAGGAGCCCCGGGGGAAGCCCCAGGACATGCTGGGGGGACTATGTCTCTCGGCTGGCCTGGGAACGCCCCGGCATTCCCCTGGAGGAGCTGGAGGAAGTGTCTGGAGAGAGTGAAGTCTGGGCATCTTTGCTTAGACTGCTGCCCCCGCGACCCGGTCCCGGATAAGCAGAGATAAATGGATGGATGGATGGATGGATGTTAAATGGTCTTTTTTTATCTATCAGTGCCAACACAGCCCCTTGCTTTAAAACACAGCAGGGAATTGCATTTTTACCAGATCAGTCTGAATGCCTGCTAACTACAGGAAGGATGAAGGGGTGTGGTGCGAAAACTAACATGCCTCCAGAAGGGCCTGAGGCTTGGGGTCATAAATACAAATGCACATGGCTACTTAGTATTCATGACATCAATGAAGGGGGTATATTTCACACATCACTGGAGAAAAAGATGCCCTCCTATACTCTCTTATAACTGTAGCTTACATGCTAAAGACAGACAGCAGTGGTACTGAAGGATAGCCACCACCTCAGCTAGTTTAATGTAATGCAAATTAGTTTTCATATACAAAATGAATGTGGATTTATTTCCCATGTCTGTTAAAAGTATGTTAGTCTGACTTCCTGTATGCCTTTGAGGAACCGTCCTATAAGGTTCTGACCTCTAGATTGCGAAACTGTAGTTTAGTTTTACTCAACAGTGTGTTCTACAACTCTTTATAGCTGTGAACAAATACCGGCAAAAAACCTCCAAATGTATTGTCTTTCTGTGTGTATGCCTTCAGACTTCTTTTCCTGACTGTCTCCTACGTCCTGGTGAGGACTACTGCCATGTCACTCGCTACACCTTCACCACTCTGTGATCCGACCTCTACTAGTGGACAGAAAAGAAGAAAACTGAATTTTTTGATGTGGAAAACAAAGTTAATTAGTTAATAATAGTTTTCTCAGTATAGAGGAGAATCGTGTACTGTACGGTTCCGCAGCCACTACTCTTTTCAGCATAAGTTTAGTTCCCTACTGTGTGCCTGTAATTTTACCACAACACTGCCAGCAGCCTGTGCATGTCATGTGTGAGTGGGGCAGTGACATGATGCTCATAGTGCAACTTGAACAAACTCTCTAAATTATAATGTACTTTATCATCTTCTTACATGTAACTAAACAGTAATAAAAGGTTTCCTCCAGCTGATTAGTACAATTTGTTCAGGTGTGTTCTTTGTAGCATTAGCCTGGTCCCTTCCCTTTGCACAGTTGTTGTCCATCTGTCCTATTTATGCAGTATTAAGAATTAGAGAGCAGTCAGACTAAGGCTGTACACATTTTATGTTATGTAACACTGCAGTGTGTACCAGTCTACACCTGTGGGTGCTCAAAATCTTTACACAGCCTGAACTATTCCTAGAACACTAGGTGAAGAGGCGTTTTTGGGTGAGAGGGCGTCCTACTACTCTGCCAAGAGACATGTTATGTTGCTATGGCAACCTCTCACCCAACACTGAAGAGGACTTTCAACAGTTGAGATATCATGCAAAGTGATAGTGCCCCAGAGCTGCAGAAAAGAAAAGTGGTCTCCATCAAACAGTGGCTGTGTGGCTTCTAACACCATGTTTGACTGTAGCAAGCAGAGTGGGAGGCAGCCTTCACAGTCAGCATCGTGAAACTGCAAATGATATTCATGCAGGGGAGGAGTGAGAGCTCTGAATCATACTATTACAGATTCATGAATACAGAGGGAGGAACACTGTCTTGTTGGGTTATTGTATTTCTTATTATAAACTCACTTCTTTTGGAGTTTCTGTTTCTTGCAATATATCACGCTACTTAAAGGGATTTTTGGAGGAATACTGTAGCTGCGGCAGGATGCCAGTATTCCGTCATGTAGAGTTTGGATGTGGGGCTCTGGGGGTTTAGCATCACAGGTCAGAAAGTCCAGCATTTCTTGAACTTATGTGCACAAATGAATAAAAAAAGATTCTAAACATGTTCTATCTAGACATGCCTGGTGTGCACTGGAATCTGTGTGTTTTTGTGACATTTGAGAATCTTGTTTCTCTTTTGCACCCAGTTGGATGGACGAGCAGTCTACATTGTCTCCAGCTATACACAGGATTACAATACCTTACCTCCTGACCAATAACATTAGGGTGTTTCCCTTGAACGCACACAGAGTGCAGACTGTTTGGGATGCTGTAGAATAATGGTAGAAGAGTAGAGGAAGTGAAACAAAAAGGAAAGGAAGTAGTTAAGCAACATAGATTGGCTCTTTTCAAAAGTGGGAAAGAGGCAGAAGTAAGAGCAGAAAAATGTGCTATATGATTGATGTTAAAAATGGGAAAGCCAATCGTAGCGGAGAAGAAGAAGGAGAAACACAACTATATGGCAAGAGATACGTTCCTGACTCCACCATATGTTGTCCCCATGCCTCTTTGCTCTCTTCTATCAAGGAAACAACCTCCACAGAGCCAGTCTGCTGCTGCTGCAAATGGCCAACCACAGGGCGACTCAGAAGGGGAGGGAGATGTTGGGCGATTGTACCCTGACTTGTCTTCACTCTTTATTATCCCTGCAACATGTAATAAACAGCTGAGGAAAAGCAAAACTCTCCTCCAGCAGCTTCCTTTGATTCCTGGCTCAGGACTTACCAAATGCCATTGAATCTGCACTTATATTTTTTTTATATTAGATAAAATTGTTGCTAATTATCCAAGTTGGTTGTTTTATCTGGTTCAGTTTACTCATTATAATGGATACTCTATTATTGTAGTTCCATAAACTTGAAACATTTTGGAACCTCCAAGAGGTTGTTAGGTATTGTTAGTCAGATAGATATTGGATAGATACTTTATGTATTAGAAATGTTTAGTGGAGATAGGATGTCTAGTTAGACTGTTAAATGCTTAGTCATGCTTATGAGTTTCTACAGGGTACATCTGGTCAAGGATAACTAGAGAGAAGAGTTGATGACTGTCAGCAGACAGGATGTTTAATATTATTATTATGACGTGTATAACTGTAGCCTTAGCCATAATATGTTCTTATGTTTAAGTCACGACATGT